TTTTAAATTTACAGTAATCAATATTAATCACGTTCTAATTTCATAGTTTTTCAGTTGAGAAAACGAGAGAGGGTAGTCCTAAAAAAAATGTACCTAAAAAGAACCAGTACTTTTATAGGCTGCCGGACCCAAATGGCCTGCCGCCGATTCTATATCCCGAAAAATAATTTCGAATACGCTACTGGAGTATATGGAAGTCTTTGGTAATTAAGTGCTAATGTATCTCAAGTCAGTATTGTGTTCGTTGACAAGAGCTTCAATCTTCCATTATCATCGATGAGGTTGCGTTTACAGCCTAGATAACAATTAAAAATTATCTTTCAATCGAGCTTTCAATAATTCTGATGGAACCATCAGACGTATGAAATAGCCTTTCCATAATAGGTACTAACAGAAAACTGAATTGATTAGTATTGGAATCGTAGGTATTGATCACAGTTGCCTATGCATGGGTATCGTTATGATGAATTGTCATTATAGAAAAAACAGTCCCTACCTATATAGTTTTGAGCGCGGAATGATAGGCTCCATACATTTTTCAAAACAAGAATTTTTTTTTTAGACCACACATACATGGCTTTCATTACAAAACCTACTACCCAGCATATCTTCTGATTTTTTGGGACCACAATTTCCGGAAAAAATAGGTAATTTAGATATTCAATTCAATTCAAGCGGAAGCAATTACCAATCCGACCAGATGAATTATAATTAATTTCAATGATTCGTGTTGGAGATATCAACAAGTTAGAGTTGGAGACGTCAAGAACAAAAATTTTCCAGAGAGGTATTTGATGCAATTATTCAAAATATGTTACGATATTCAGTATTCGATAGCCTATTTTAGAATTCTTGACGAACTTTTTGAAACGTTTTCCATGAATTTGTCTACATATTGAAACAGTTTGAGTATTAGTATTCAGTGTAATTTCAAATAAATTATCAAAAGGTGTTGAATCTGGAGATCTTGCCAGTCATTCTATGGTATAGTTACAAATAACTTTTGAGTATTTGAGTATTTAGTATTTATTCAATATCCATGAACAGTCATATGGTTTACATACATTCAGGTACAAAATGAGCTTTAAAAGCTTGTGTGTGCACCAGTCACATTTATAACACAATTCACCTATGAGTGAATTTGCTAATGAATCGTCTTATATACTATATATACTATTAGTTGTTTTATATATACTATACTATCTGGACTAATATGTACTAATGTAATATACAATCTGAATATATACAATATATGCAATATATTTCAAACTAATAACTAGATATTGGGTTTGCTTTTTAAAATCCAAGATGATATTTTATTTTTGATTTTTTTGTATGGTTTGCCTTTGAGTTCGTTTGGCAGTATGTTATATATTTTTGGTCCTATATAAAATATACTTCGTTGAATGGTTACATAAGATGTAGTAGGAACAATTACATTTTCATTTGTTACTGATCTAGTTGTTACAACATGATTAACTTTCGGTACATTCATTTTTGATAGATATCTTACAGCAGATTTTAAGTATAATTGAGAAATGTCAAGAACACCTGCATCTTCAAAGAGTTTGTCAGTAGGAAATGTTTTATTTTCTGAACATTATAATTTTTAGAATGTATTTTTGTGCTACATTTAAAGGAGTCATGGCATTAGCATAAGCTGAACCCCAGGCTGAGATTCCATATGATAACACAGACTCTACCAAAGCCCTATAAATATTGATAATGCTGTTCCTATCCAAAATTTGTCGAAGTTGATAGAATTTATAATATAACTTTCTAATTTTTAATACAACATATTCAATATGATAGTTCCATTTCATGTGTGGATCAAAGTAAGTTCCCAAATACTTGATTTTATTATTTAATTTAATTTTTAAATTACATTGACAATTATTAATTTCTTCACAATTGGGTTTATGAAATATCAGCGATTCTTTTTCAGGGAGATTATTTTTTGTTAAAGCAAAATACATGAAGTTGAACTTATCAACATTTAGGGTTAAAAGGTTTTTATCAAGCCATTTTTTCACTAAACATAAGGCGGTCTCAGCTTTATTAAACACCAAATTCCAAGAGTTATCCTCAAACAGCAAAGCAGTGTCGTCTGCATAGCAAATCACCTTTCCCTCAGATAAGACTCTGGTCAAGCTGTCTATATATATTATAAAAAGTATTGGCCCCAGCACAGTGCCCTGTGGCACACCACACTCCACCGAACAAGGATCACTGAGATATTCATGTATTTTAACTTGTTGATGCCTGTTGTTTAGATATGATTTGAAAAGGTGGTTTGGTATACCTCTGATACCTATTTGCTCCAGTTTGTTCAGTAGAATGTGGTGTGACACAGTATCAAAGGCTTTGGCCAAGTCCAGACAGATTGCAAGACATTTTTTGTCATTGTTCAAACTTTCTGTAATGTTTTCTGTTACTTTAAGAATAGCATCTTCTGTGTTACAGTTCTGTCTGAATCCAAATTGAGTTTTTGAGATCAGATTATTATTTTCTAGGAAGCTATTCAATCGTTGTTTTATGCATTTTTCCAATATTTTACTCACATTGCTTGTCAGAGCTATGGGTCTGTAGTTATTTGATAAGTTTCTTAGAGCCAGATTTATGTAAGGGAACTATAACTGCAGTTTTAAAATTTTCTGGGAATATTCCTGTACATTATTTTTAAGGGTACTAATTATAGTGATAAGTTCATTGTCTTGAATTGGGTTTAGATATAAGGAATTTCTGGGGCGCTCTCATATGTCTTTCATTTATTCAATAATATTCAACTACCAAAATTTTCTGATGAAGGTGCGAAGAAACTTAAATGTAAAAAATAAGTAGATTAATCCAACTTCAAATGAATTTAATGAAAAGTCTACCTGTACATCAATGACTAAGTCCATTAAAATTAATTTCTTATGAAACATGATGATACATTTGATAAAAATTTCGGCTGTAAATACTGACCTCTATCATATCTCTTGATATTATTATTGACGTATATGTCTGATATCTGAAGACAAAAGCTATTTATATATCAAGGGAGCAAAGGTATCTATTTCCTCGCACGTGTGAAGATTAATGCCCGACATGTAGCATATAGGGCATTAAACACACAAGACATTTATATGATCAAGAAAGAGAACTCAAAGTCGTCTCCTCAAGTTTAAAGATAAATAGATGCAGTCAGTCCAGCTTCAATAAGGTTTGAGACATGTTTCGGTCATTCAAATGGCCATCTTCAGTCAAATTGGTACATTCAAGTGTATCTACGATAGAAAAACCCAAGCTTAATTTCAACATACCATGAAGAAAATAGAAAATCACGAAGTTGTAAATGCAACCTTGAATTAGTTCACAATTTCAGAAGTAGAAGAGAACAATGCTGATCATTGCAAAAGTATTGCAATATTAATTGATAGTTAATTGATGAGTGAAAAGTGAAAAAGTCAAATTTATATGATGATACCCACGAACGCAAATATTTGAGAGCGTCGTTCTCAAAATTCTGCTTCAGGCGGTATATCTTTCGAGTCTCGATCCAAAACAATGAGTAAAAAAAATCAATTGACTATTTTGTCATATTTTTTTTCAAGTTCTGGTTCCCACGAGAAGGGTTATCCTGTAATGTTCAGAGAACATCGTGAGAACCAAGGGAAATAAGGTAGGAATTGGTGTTCTTCTTGAATTTATGGAGGTTATATGCCTCGGGAATCACCTCCCTTGGCAATGTGTTCCAGAGCCTCGCTGTTCGTTGGAAGAACGAGTCTTTTGAAAGAGATGTTCTGAAGGTTTCCAAAGTGGCCACGAAGGGGTGCGAAGCCTCAACTCGACGAGTTAATCTCGTGGGAACTGCCAAGGGAGGTACAATTGTCGATATTTCAGAAGAGCATCGTCCATGAGAATATCTATCAAATAGAGCCAGATCGCCAACTTTTCTACGGTGTTCCAGAGAAGTGAATGAGTTTGTGAGCGAGGCATCACCATCGAGACAGTATTCCAAGACAGGTTGGATCTGTGCCTTATAGATCATGAGCAGCTGACTGGAAGTGAAATAGCTCCTGGCCCGAAACAGAAAACCAAGTTTTTGGGATGCAATTTTCGCAATTGATCTCACGTGATTTTCCCAAGAAAGGTTATTGCTGATATTAATACCAAGCATCGAAATGGATGTCTTCAAAGGTATGGTTACTCCTGACATGCTTATGTTTGGCACAGTGAGATCGGTTTTTCTAGAGAAAATGCATGCTTTTGATTTGTTTTTATTGGAGTAAGTTTGGAATATAAGGAAGTGTATGAGATAATTGGAGTTCAAATAGGAAATTGTTAATTGTTTTATCGTAGTGATGGAGACACTAATTAGGTACTTGACTAGCATAGATCTTACACGTATATCTCTATCAAGAAACTTTCAGAAGCCAATTTATTTTACTCCCCACGGGAAGTAATACTTTTTTCCTCCCGCGAGGAAGCAAACGCTTACTTTCGATGCTGTAGGTAGATATGATAGTATTTTCCACCTGGTTGATTTGGTTGTTGCTAGACTTTAAATTTTATGTATCTCGAGGTAGGGGATGCCATTCAAAATTAAAGCCTAGGGGTGGCTGATGGGGGTGAAAGGGATGAACATAGCAATCAATCGATACTGGTATTTTACTTCCCCTTCGGTGTCTAAATTGACTTATATTTCTTGAAAATTCTAATTAACGCAGATCATGCAAAAGTTATCAAGGGTGATACGTTTTGAAATGAAAGCCCTGTATATTGAAATAATACTCATATTGTTATTTATAAAAACGAGGAGAGAGCATAACAACATATCTAGCTAGACAAATTGATATTCCATCTCCTCAATTAACCTACAGACAGTAGACTTCTTTTGTCTGCCATTTTGAATCCATCATGCAAATGCGTGAATCAAATCTGATAAAGCCGGATGACCAAGTGAAGTGGGTCATGGGTAGGACAATCCTATTAGACTACCCTGTATATGTACTCACCACTTATTTTTTCTCTTGATGTAATCCTTTTCAGCCAAGTTGACCAGGTAGAGGGCTGGTTTAGATGTCAAGAATAAGTATTTGTTGAGTATTTCAATCTGGAAAAAAGTCAATGATCAGATATCCAGAGTAAAAATAACGAATTTTTTAAGATTCATGTCGGAAGTAAGAGCAATATTTTGTTAAAGAATTTTGTATGAATATGTTTTGAAAGGTGATTTGTCCCATGAATTTGTTTTTTTATCTGATTCTCAAAGAGGGCGCTAGTAACACGGTTCGTGCCGAGTAGTTTTGAAAATAACTTTTATGCACAACCAGGTATAAATTGATATTTCATACCCCTAATACGCGGGCGTAAATCGAAACATAAGGGCCCTAGGGCGATTAATGAGTACAGCGGGCGGTAAAGTAGGTGAAAGGGCAGTAAAGTAATTTCACAGTTTTTCCGGTGATTCTTAGTAGACTACCATTCGATCTTTCTTCGCCAGTGGCATTCATAATTTGGCAAAATGAATTCACAATCATTGTGCATTTAATGCTTATAGCTTACTTATAAAAGCCTACTTTACGCCTATTCACGATGAGAGATAGGTGGCATCTCTCTTTGCCTCAATACAGCTGACAACAGAATCAGAAGCTGCAATATATGTTGTACTGCTGAAATCGTTAATAATTGTTTCATGTCATAATTTTTAGAATGTTATCAGTCATTCTTCTCAACAAGTTATCATTTATCATCTTACAACTGGCTTTATTCCTTGACTGGGATTCTCACTCAATCCTTTGTTATGTAGGAGACACCTAGGCTGCTATTTGCATTTATCTTTATGACTGGAAAGCCAGAAAAGTCGGTTATAAATCAAATTTAAGGTACCCAGTCCATGAGAGGACTTATTTCTGTTTACTTTTCGTTTCACGATTATTGCCGCAGTACTTATTTTATTAGATTACATTTTCTGAGCAAATGGTGTTGTTGGGCATTCTTTATTATGAAATGTCTATTCGTTTTCAAAAATAGCCTCTAGAGGGGCGGCATATTAGGTCACTTCGGATTCGGAATCAGGACGCCCAATTCACTAACTGATCATATTTCTCCTGAAAAATTTTCAGTTCTCAAATTTTCATTTTTGTCACCCGAGTATCTTCCGTTGTGATTGATTTAGGAGTCTGAAATTTTTAGGAGCATGAAAGATACCAATGGCCAAGTAGGATGATCTTCAATGACACACTGCTCGCCAGCAGCCACAAAACCACCGACATACCAGGCGGAAAAATTCAATAAATCGGAAAATTCCCTTAATGGTTGTAGTGAAATTGATAATCATTAGGTCAGGTCTCATCAGGAAAAATGAAATAACAATTTGATAAAGTTCTCTCCTGCAATGTTTTCTACAAATTTTTGACAAATGAGTAAATTAAAGTAATTTCAGAGTTTCTCCTTATCATTTCTTGAATAAGTTTTTTTAAAGCTAATATTCATTTATTTATTTATTCACTTCTCAAACAGGTTTACACCTAATTACATGAGAAAACTATACCACATACAACCTTAATATTAAATCAGTCCTGATGTGCTTAAGGAGATCAGCTGATGTTTCCAATAATTTCTCATTCAAAATTCATACTTTCATCATACTTGGTACATAATCGATGAACTGTTGTTTGGTTGACATTACAAGATTCATTCAACATTGTCAAAATATTGTTTAAGTAACTTGAAGAATTGTGGGGGGGGGGGAAGAGCAATATTGATTTCTGACAGAAGGAGAACATTATTCGTTATCTTCAACATGGAGATTACAGGGGAGCAGTTGTTCGTTGATACCAGAGGGATTTCAAAAAACTGGTCAAGCCTTGTGAGTCTGATGGGTACTCTTCTTTTCAACAAAGAATGCAAATACGGTGTGGTATAATTTGTTGTACAGTTTATAACACATTATAACACTACTGCTGATTCTTCGAGAATCGAGACTGCCTATTGTGAATTCCTCACTCCGAATTACATTAAAATCAGGGAATACTTCATATTTTTTCAGGTAGAGGAACCTCCGGAATTTGTTTCGTATTTTTTCTAGAGTATGCTTGTATAGAAATTGATGAGGGTGCCATATAACCGAGCAGTATTCCATCTTTGGTCTGACGAGTGTATTCTACAACACGCAGTTATTGTGCCGGTATCTTTGAACAATTTGTTTTGCCTAAGGACGAATCCAAGAGCTCGAAGGCCTCGTGAGGCTATATATTCTATATGTGTTCTGAATGAAAGTGCGGAATCATAGTGAACACCGAGATCTTTGACTCTTTTCAATACATCATCATTCATCGTATGATTATATTCAATCGTTTCTCTTTTCCTAGTACAAGGCAGCCCCACACATTTGGCTATGTTGAAAGGAAGATCATGGTCAAAACTCCATTGATAATCTTGCAAACTCTCAATTCGTCTATAAAACTTCAAAGAGCACACAGTCCGAGTGTTTTGAGTGGGCAGGCAAGCTATTTATAAAAATAAGGAACAGTAAAGGTCCAAGGTTTGAACCTTGTGGTACCTCAGAGTGGGAATAGAATGTTTCCGATAGATTGCCTTTATATCTAATCTTGTATGTTCGGTTGCTCAGATATGAAGCAAATAATTCGAGAGTTTGCCGATTAGCTTCATTTCTAAATAGCTCTTTCAATAGAATATCATGGTTGACCTTGTCAAATGCTTTTCGGAAGTCAGTATATACCACGTCTACTTGTGTGCCTCGATCCATGTATTTATGCACATCGTGACAAAAGACTAGCAAGTTGGTGGATGTTGATTTCTTTGGTACAAAGCCATGTTGTTCTTCACATATATGATCCTTCACCCAATTCCACACTTTCCCATAAATTATCTGTTCAAACAACTTCGCAACAGAACACAACCGATATTGGTCTGTAATTTTCGACTTGTGTCTTATGTCTTCTACAAAACAATTAATTTTTCAGAAATCTCTCCTCATGATTTTACATTTGTGAACTATAGCCTCTGACAGTTTGTCACAGACGCGTACGTTGATACATTTTTTCTACAAAATTCAAAAAATGACAAGGTTCGCGCATTGATAACAAATTGCGAAGTGAAACTTTTTTTCAGTTTCCCACGAAACCATGATACCTTGCACAAAACAATACGCGAAGTAAAACAGTACGCGAAGTACCTACTTCGCGCATTGTTATGTAAAATATATGAGATATTTATATTTCAACTTTATGGTTCTCAATCGAGCAAACATCCACGAAATCACTTATTTCTGAATGTTCAACAATAACTTTCTTTCAGCTCTTGGAGCGCACGAAATGCCTATTATGTTTGTGGAACATCGTTCGTACCTAGGGAGGATAGGGGGAAGCCAGTTCAACACTATTTTTTATATCAAGCTAAGCATATTTTCACTTTAGAACCATATTTTTTGACGTTTGTAGAAAAAATGTTGTTTGCAACTCGAGCGCGAAATAGTTTGGTCATCTCGACTATTTTTTCAACTCGGCTACGCCTCGTTAAAAAAATCAGATCTCGATCACCAAAGTAGCATTTCGCGCTCTAGATACAAAAATAACTATTTTCCAACGAACAATTATATCTGCGAACTGCGAAATGAAACTATCTGTCTCAAGAATGAAAAGCTTCTCCTGTCACAGGAAAAAAAGCGAATGATTGATCGAAAGAGAGAATTCACAAGTCACTTTCCGTGTCTATTATTGGGACGCGTCGTAAATTGATTCCCGCTGCGCCGAAACGGTCGAGAGATGGTGTCAATGTGGTGAGGCATAAAAGAGATCACCAGGTGGCGATGTTATTCATAATATTCGAAGTCATATCGCTCGGTGGACACGAATACAGTCGGAGTAGAAATTAAAATAGGATGACATAACTGAAAAAACCTTTTTTTTTACGGCTATAACACAAGATTGCTCTTGTTTTACTGCGTTCGATCAATGAGGTACTTTGTATGTCATCAATTTTATTTCCGTATATCTGATATAACAATGACTCCATTGTGTTATTATTTAAAAAAAACTCTGTCTAATAGATGAGAATTACTTGACAGGAAATCAGATGGCTACAAGACGAGGAAATCGAATATGCCGCTGTTATCTATTATAGCCGTAGAAAAATTATAGTGTACAACTTGCACGGAATGCTAATTTCCTACTCGAATGATGTCATCATTCACCTATGGCCTATGCTGCAAACTCCATTCTCTTAGGAAATTACTGTCATTCTGTGCTCGTTAAACAATATACTATTTTCTACGGCTAAAACAAAGAATAGTATATTGCTTAATGAGCACGGAATGATATAGTCATTTACCACGAGAATGAAATTTGACATTTTGTGGCAGATGAGATTTTGTGAAATAATGACACAATTAATAAATAGTGATATCAGATACGGATATGAAATTGATGACATACAAAATACCTCATTGATTCATCAAACACAAATTATCACGAGCAAATTTGTGTTGCAGCCGTAGAAAAAATATTATTGCCCATGAAATGTTAAATTTCAAGCAATGATAGCTCTGTCTATGAGCATTACTTAAGAGCAAATTAGGCGTCTACAAGCAGGAGGAATAAGAAATTTCGATGTTATCTCTCACAGCCGTAAAAAAAGTTTTGTGGATAACTCGCACAGAATGCTAATTGCCCACTCGTGAGTCCATTCTCGTGGGAAATGACTATCATTCCTTGGTCGTTACGATACAGAGTTTTTCACGATGGGCGTTGATTAGACGTTTCTGGCAAACCAAGTAACAGATGAATCTAAAAATTTTATGGTATGTATAAATTGATGTGATCTACACGTCTAATAGAATATTATGTAACAAGTATTATGAACGTCATTTAAGTAACGAGTATTTTGAGCACGAGCGCAGCAGAGCGGAGTGACTGTTGATAAACGAGTGCCCTAGAAGAGTTTATAAACGCGTCGTTACATACTATACTTTTTCTGAAAACTTATAGTTCCTTCATATACTGTCATGCTTTGCATAAAAAAAATTGCCCACAAAGATAAGAGCTACATTTTTACACAGAGTGTAAGTACCTAAAACATCATCTTCCGTCT